TGAAGTGTTCTGGAACAGTGTTGTAAATACAACTTAACCACTGATTTCTAGTCGTGTCTTCTTTTGGAAGACCAAACAAAGTAGTTTCGCTTCCACAACGAAACACACAGCGTCTTCACAACATGACGGCGGAAACAACAATACAGTTTATTAAATTTACGCCTTCGTTCTTTGCGTGAACATTTGGGCGGCGTTATGCAAATCTTCCCACATAGTGACGTAGACATGTGGGGGCGTGTTAGAACGAGCCGTTTTAGGAGGGTGTGAACCAATCTTCACTTTTATAAAGAATATCTCCGAGTTTGAGACTTTAGTCTTTGCGACTTTACGGATCTTCTGTTTGCACGAACAACTTTTAACTCTACAAAGACAGGAAAAAATGAAATTCCATCATATGACCCCTTTAATGAAATCTTTGAGGAACTCCAATTGTCACGAATCAGTCACTAGAAAACTCAACCACTAAACCAACAGTAAACGCAGTGGTTCCCAAACGGGGGGCTCGGAGCTATGATAAGAGGGGCACGGCAAGCCTGAGGGATAGTGTACAGTCAGCAGATTATTTTGCAAAAGAAACCTCTGCAGTGTGATAAAGACTAAACTGCGTAATTTTCACGCTTATCATGCAGCCACTTGCCTGACAAGTAAACAATTGAATGCAAAATATTAATTTGACCTCATTTTAATTACCTCAATATGACTCTCACTACCCACTTGAGCGCTCTGTTATCAGTTGTGGTTGTATCAATAACAGACCACTAGATGGCGCGATTGAAGAATCAGAGTTGTATTGCAGGAAGCCATGTAGAAATATAAATGAAGAGATGCATAGTTCTGCTTTATAATTCTGAAAATACTGCCAGAGCCAGGTACGTAAAGCAGATGATGAACATGCTTAAGATTCACAAATACCAAACCAACATTGAACCCAGTGATGTTCTGCTGTGAATGCGGCGCAATGCGACACGACAAATCCATGACCGTAAACTGATGCGGTTTTATTTCTGACGAACTCCAGCACTCTGACACAAAGGACAGTTGGATTTGCAATGTTCACTTTGTCACGTCCAGTGTGGTGAAAAGACAAGGAAATATGACTAAGCATATGCCCTCAGATCAGTACAAAGGTGGGTAATGAAGCTGATCAAGTTACGACAGCAAGTAGTACTATGTTAATCACAATTTTTCAAATCATATAATTTTGCAATCAAGGTCATGAGAGGGTGCATGTTATTCATAAGAGAACCATGAAAAATCGTTTCCTCAAATATTGTGCAGCAAAACAGTTTTCAACATTGATAATAATCAGAAATGTTTCTTGAGCAGCAAATCAGCATATTAGAATGATTTCTGTATTTTAAATAAATAAATGCAGCCTTGGTGAGCATAAGAGACTTTCTTAAAAAAAAAATTTAAAAAAAAAAGGGGGGACCTGAAAATATTTCTCTCTACAAAAGGGGGGCCCGGCAAAAAAAGTTTGGGAACCAATGAGTTAACGTAAGTTCAGGAAGAAAAGAAAACGGAGGAAAGAAGAAACACATCAGATGCAGAGAGAAAAGAAAAGCTTTATTGGAAGATTCAGAGAGAAACACTGGAGCATCAGAGCCGTGAACTCAAGTACAGACAGAAGAACATACAGAAGAAACAGAGCTGCTTAAAGTCATGCAAAGAAAAACAGACCAACATACAAATCTAACATCCTTCAGCCAAAACACGCCCCACAAACCCTGACGACTCTCACACACTCAACAGACACGCTTCCTCGGGTCACATGACCGTCACTCTGTGATTGACAGGTGTGGGCGGGTCTACTGGGTCACATGACCGTCACTGTGATTGACAGGTGTGGGCGGGTCTACTGCACGTTAAGCACACGGGCCGAGACCCCATGATGCCAGTCTCTCAGCTTGTTGTACTGAGGCCGGACCAGCTCTGGGTCCACTCTGGTCACCCTGATGGCCCAACGGCACAGAGAGAGAGACAGGACAGAGACGGAAGACGAAGAGGAATAAACTGATTAATGCTCCGCAGGGAATGAGTAATGAACCTCAGCACAAACACACAAGTGTTGAAAACAGCTATTAAAATATTAAACGCTTCTAAGACGAAGTTGAGAAATT